AGGGAGGATTTTTTACAAACTTGAAAACTACAAAACAATGCCATACAAGTATCATATCACATATCATATCATCAACTTTTTCGCATATTTTCACTAATTTCTTTTGCAATTTCATCACAATTATCAATGCACACTTTACGCGGGGAACCAAAACTTAAGCCAAAATGTTCAACTGCAGCGAAAACTACTTCCACCATTATAAGCCAAATAATCATCCATTCCAATCGAGCATTCTAAAAAAATTCCATTTATTTCAATATATATTAAACAAAAAAAAAATTTCTCTGTGACTCGCTCATCTGTTTCAATGGAAAACTGATACTGTCACAATGCCAGACAGAAACTCGCTATCAGCTTGCTTACTTGTAAGCAATCATCGAAAGAGGAAGCCATCGATAGATTTACCACTGTGTGGTTGCTGTTGGCATTTACTACCACTCGGCCGATCTCCAGAGTTCCTCTCTCTCACAGAAAGCGAGTACAGAAGGGGTTTTGATTCAATAAGCGATCAATTACAAATAAACAATGCTGCTACACATTTTATTCATAATGAACGCCAGTAATTTCACCAATGTGTGGTTGCTATTGGCATTTACTACCATTCGGCCTATTTCCGGAGTTCCTCTTACGGAAGACAAGTACGGGGAGGGTTTTGATTCGGTACGCAATTAATTACAAATAAACAATGCTGTAGCTTACTTTATCCATACATAATTAGGCGCGCTGAAGTAAAAATTCACTACAAACCTAACTAGGGACGATTCTGACTTTTTGTCACATACCATTATCAGTTCAACACCAAAAGAAATCGAAATCAAGACGGTTCTGTCCATCAGGAGGATCAAAATTGTTCAGGACAAAAAAGAAAATCTTAAAAAAAGCAAAAAAATGATAAAAACTTACAAGGTTGTGCGTTTGCATATCATTCACCACCTTCAATATCTCACTACAGTAATCTAGCTGCGCATTTAGCATTCTGAAAATACTTATTCACAGAAAAAAAAGAAAAACACTGCTTACGAGTTTAAAAATCAAAAAAAACCTTTCATTTTAATTTTACCTAACAGATTGTAACTCAAGCAATTCGTAACGGACTAAAAAGTGTCGAGGCGCAGCGATTATGATACAGACGCTTCAGAAGTATAATAGTATAACATCAATAAGATCGAGATTTCAAGTTTTTCAAGTTAGTAATTTCAATAAAAATCTACAAAAAACCCATTACCTGCGTCTGCTGGTGACCGTAAAATGTTTCAAGGCCATCCTATAGTACGGCTCCAAGTCCTGTTTCTCCCAATAAAAATCGGAAT